CTACCTGGGTATCAACTACAGGGGGTCAATTCTGTATCTTACAATACAGTGAAAATGCTGAAAGTGAGCGGCTTTGTCTCTTTCGAAGGGAACGTTTAGAAAGAGACAAAGCCGCTCACTTTTAGCATTTTCACTATGGTGCAAGATACAGAATTGACCCCCTGGTATTATACTTATCCTAATAGCATAGAGATATTATTATTTTGATTGATATTATTATTTGATTGCCCGAAGATTGTTCCAACAGATCTTCTTTATTAAATTCTGTTCTTTGGTAAATAAGTGAAATTGTGTTTAAAGTACTATAAGGAAATTTCTTCTTAAATAGATACTACGCTCATTCAACAAATGATATAAGTACGTTCAAATTGTTCTAGCACCTTCAGCTTAACCATTTTTATTAGAACAAGTTGTAAAGATAGAATAAGAATATAAAAATATCCCTATATTTTTATATTAACCCAAGTAATAATTTATAATTTTTAATTATACTTACAATTAGTGTAACAAAATACAATTATATTACAATTACTTTTTGTGTTTTTTATCTTGTCTAAATGCTTTCATAGGAAAACCGAAAGGAATAGAAAGTATAATTAAGCAACAAGAGGAATAGAAATGAACTTTCATGTGAGCTAAATTATATTTTGAAACTCTTTCTTGGAGGTAAACTTTGGTTTCTTAAATAACGCCTCATTAAAATTTTACTGCGAATTGATTTTACGTGAAGAAAGCAATTTTTTACTTGAAGATTTCTTTCCAGAATAATTATTTTCTAAATTAAAAGTATTTAATATATCTCAGCTCGTAGAATTCCGATTTCTAAAAAATCATTAATTGATTTTTGCAATTTTGTTTACTACAGATCAAGAGAAATAAAAATCCCTCGATTTTCTCTCATACTTTAATGATTAAGTGCTTCACAATATTGTACAATTTCATATGAAAGTGAACGTTATTAGAGCTTGGTAAATGTTAAAATATTCAGGAAGCAAATTTCTTCTTAATATTACGACACTAAAAACTATCATATCGCTTTTCGTCAATTAGAAATGTATCTCCGGAGAATCATCATTCGTCATCTCATTAAATACTTTTAACTTAAAAAATTACTTTAAAAAATGTTTCATTTATTTTTCGCATAAAATTGATTTGTTGAAATTTAGATGGAGTATAAATGTTTAAAAAACTTATAACAATACGTATAAATAAAATTAATTTGGTGTGAAAGGACATTTTATTTTACAAAAACGATCAAAACTCTCTTATCTAGTTACATTAAATATAAATTAAATATAAATTGTATGTGGCTCATCTATTGCAATTACATACTACAAAACATTTACATTTTTACTTATTATGTGTTATTGTGTTGAGATATATACATTGCCTTTTATCTTACAATATCATTAATATATGTTATTGATAAAAAATACTATTTTCAATGCGTCGTTTTCACAGGCTTCATAATATAACCAAATAATAATAAATACAGCAAATTAATATAATTTTTGCTGAGTCAATAAATTGAACTATTGATCAATAGTTAACCATTTATCCGTGACATGTTCAATTTGCTTAAAAAGAATTGGATTCCTCAGACGGACTTTCAACTCCAGTTTTCCTCCTGTCGCTTTCCTGCCATCCATAAGCTGAAATATATCATGATGAGTTCTTTCATTTTTTGTTTGCATAGAAAGGAAATATAAAAGAATTAATCATTTAATTACTGGAAAAGAATCATGTAGAGTGCATTGAGACTCTAAAGGTTGTAATTTGACCATTACTGTACCAAGCAAGCTATCACTTCGGAAAAAACCTCTGCAACATGAAAAAATAAATATATGAATATAAATTTTAAAATAAATATAAAATATATCGTACTATACCTAAAACATATAAATACATTGTAATTGGAAAATCACTGTTACATTTAAGAATTTAAGTATACGTTGTTACAAATTGCTCGTGTAATACCATAGAGTTTATAATGCTGTCTAGTACATGATAATAATTTCATATACAAAACATACACACACATACTCACAGAAACTTTACAAGCACTATAATAGTCTTCACATAGATATTTTAACTTATATAAACATTATTAATCTTTTTTTTACAAAAAATATCAAGATGACAAATATATATTAAATTTAAAAACATAAACATTTTCCTGTGCATATAACTGGATATTCTACAGAGATATAGGGATGTCATACCTGGGATGAGTGCAACACAGGATGGGATTCAGCGAGCATCTGCAAACAACGTTCTACTTTTTGGGTATACACTTTCATATAAAGTTTTCTAATATTCACATAACAAATGTATACATGTATATATGAGCTATCCTAAACTAAACAACAGTAGGAACAGGAGATAATACAAGCCTATCTTTGAAATCAAAGAACTGACTTTTTACTATTCTTAGAAGCATTGATTGTCTATCTTAAAGAGATCATCAAAAAAACCTTTTTCCTTCATTCTGGAAATATAACTTTTTTCTTGAAAAATAAATATAAATTCTTACAAACAAAGTACTATCATCATTAAAAATTAAATAAAATTCCATACAATTATTATACAATCATAATTACCAATACTTTTGACAAAATCCTTTTTCAAATGAATTAGAGTTAGAAGGATATTTCAATGGATTCTATGAAATCTTAAACTGTGTTATTCTATTGTAAATCACAACATTGTTCATATACATTCTTTTTGTCAAAGATAATTCAAAAAAGCAATTTTTGAAAAGTGTACTAAGTATTAAAATAGAAAAAGACATCAAGAAAGCAATATTAATCTTTAATATAATCCTCCTCGTCCTATATAAGTAGTTTAACTTTAATAATGTCATCAGAATAAAGTTGATTTCATTGCTCTCTCAATCCTATTATTTCTATTATTCTTTCTATTCTAATATACTTTACACTAAAAGCTACGACAATAAAAAGTGCCAACTAATCAGAGTTGTCGAGAACGGAATTAAACTCATTAATTTTCAGTAATCAAAAAGGAGAGACAGTCTCAAATCGCTTTATGATATATAGCTCTGATATTTTACTATATGTATGTATAATTAATTTTTTGGATCGACAAAGAGGGCAGTGAGGGAGCTACGTTTTTCTTCAAATAATAATATCAAAGGAAAAATAAATAATTAGCTAAAACTAATCAACTAATGAAATACTGAACCACATATAGAACAAGGAAAAAACTATATTGAAAACTAATTTATGATTGATCTTAATGCTTTTTTTCCCAAGTTTTCTTTACTTTTCAACTTTGAATTTGTTTGGATTGATTCTTTTTTTAATAAAACTCAAAAAGTACATTTTGTGGTTGGAACCTGTACTAATAAAACATAAAAAAGCACATGTTTTAAATATACAAAAATATACAAAATAAATCACAAGAAACAAAATCATATCTGTATCTCAATTATTTCAAGCAACAGGAATAAACAGGAATAAAGTCATAAAATGAATAGAATTACATGTAATAGAAATTATTATACATATAAATAATAAATTTTCACAACACTAAGGAAAACTCAATCCTAAACTGATCAATAGTCAAAATATTCCTAATGTCTAGGAAATCTTTACAAAAATTGTATTAATAAACAATAAATCATTTCTTCCTTGTTATATGTATATCAAATTATCTTCTTATCTAACTCATAGTGATATACCATCACTTGTATTCAATAGTATTTATTAATAAAATATGTTGAAACATTCTGTTTTCTTATTATTCTGTATTATTAAGTATATCAAATAGATAAAATTCAATCTATATGTGTATACATATGTTTAGTAAAAATAAACTTTCCATGACAATTGTCAACATCTACAACTTGGTAAATTCAAAAAGACAATTTTCAGTATTTTCACCAATATACATATGTATACAGGGTGTCAGACTCGTTAGTAGCCAAACTAAAAATTACGGTAGACTGGGTTAAACTGAGAAGAAAAGTCATGTACCGTTGTGTAAAATTAGCAATAGTTATCGCGTAATTGATAAAAATGTCTGCCGGAATGAGCGCACAAGGAGTGGAAGGTCGGACCCGGCAGGCATGCAAAATGATTTATTTGTTTATATCTCCTAGCGACGTTGCTCGTCACTCGATGCGTGACTCCACCTCTCGCTACCGCGTCCTGGTATCGAAAATCCTATCAATTACGCGATAACTATTGCTAATTTTGCAAAACAGTACATGACTTTTCTTCTCAGTTTAACCCAATCTACCGTAATTTTTAGTTTGACTACTAACGAGTCTGACACTCTGTATATGTATAATTGTATACTATTGAATATGCATAATGCACATGCAAAAGTCAATTTATACGTATATTGCAAGAAAAATTTGTATTAGGTTACGGCATGAAATGACAATTATAAAGTTTATCACAAAAATTCAATCCAACTTGCAATATAGAAACAACAAATCCTATCAACAACAAATCTATCAACAACAAAGTAATATTGAAGTAGTATTTGGTAACATCAAGATATTAGAATAATAATAAAAAATTATAAAATTAATCGTGCATTATAAGCTAAATTTACATTAATGCTAAAAATTGAAAATGACCCATAATGTTCACTTGATAGCCATGAAAAGTTATCTACCATTTAATCATAAATCTCTAATAGCATTTCATCGTTTGATTTAAAGCTCAAATTAATTTTAACTCAGCAGAGATTAACATATAGTTAAACGAATTTTTGTGATAAAACTATCATTAAATTACCCTTTCGCCCAAACTTCACACTTCAAGGCATGTCGTTTGAATGCTCTCTGGCATTGTCTGGAGGTGCGATTTATAATGCTATTCAGCAAAAATACAGCTTGGTACTCGGGATTGACAGAATCCTTGATCGTCGATGTCCTATCTACAGAATGATTATCCGATGGAAGTGGAAATTCACACATTACATATGTGTCTGCTTCCCGAGAGTAGTTAATTCCTCTAATTACAGAAATTTCTATATCACTATCATTTAAATCCGTGGAACTCCTGAAAAAATACAGTTATTTAGAGTCATTAGATTAAATTTCTTTATAATATACAAAAAAATTAAAAATAGAAAATAACTTGATAAGAAAACAATAAGATACAAAGCTATCTGACATATCTTCCGAGCCCGCTCTCTACGCGCTCATTCGCTCAGACGTTTCAATAAATTATTCGATAACTATTGTGAATTTTGTATAATAATACATGGTTTTTCTTCTAAAGCCAACGGCTTTAGAAAGATCTGATCTAAAACTCTGCATCCTTATTAGTTCTCGTAAGCAATCCAGTAGGAAAAATAGTATCGTGTACCGGTGCAGCGGTGGCTTTAATCTGACCCAATCTACCACCATTTTTCGTAGAGGTACTCTTGTGTTAGACACCCTGTGTGTATCTATATCTAAATTACATATAAATCTATACTAACTGTACTATTTGGTAGGTTTTTGTTTCATAATGGTGTTGTGGTGGTGGCAGTGCATCACGTTTTCGAACTCTAAGCATATCTAAATCACGCGTGTAGCTTAGTGCAAGCCGCTCCCATCTATTATATCCAGGAACATCTCCCAATGCTTTTGAATGATCTCGTGTAGACAAACACCACTGTAAAGTTAAATATCAGTATTATAAAGTATAATAAGTTGTATAGTTATTAATTTATGTTAATCCTTCCAATTTAGAAAATAACGTTTAATAAAGAATGCAAAACATAATATATGTTAATCTTTTCATAATAACAAATAAATATTTTTCTAGCTATATGACATTATTTAATTATCACCTTAATTTGTTTAATTAATTGGAGTTCAAGATTTTCATAAATTTTTTCGTCTGTTCCAGTCAAACCTTCCAAAAAATCATCAGAAGACACCAATACAAAATTTTCATCCTTCTGTGATGTACCGAGCTCTACTTTTTCAAGAGGCGATAGTGGGATCGAAGTCATGTCGACAGGCAGGCCAGCTTTGCTAGCTCCAATTAAAGGTTGTATTCCTTTCGCTTGTCTTAGATAATCACGTGCCAAATCTATATCTCCGTCATTTTTTGCATTTAGAGCAGCTTGCTTTAATTCACGCTGCCGTAGTTGCAATTGCAACATTTGCTTCTCTGCACGCGACGTAATCCTCTGATTTGGTTTCTGTCCTAATAAAAAAAAGTACAGCATAAATATAAATGTTATTTTAATAGAATTAAACTAATATCTTAAAAACAGATAAATTTACATAAAAACAATATGTACAATTAGTTTCATTTCACGGAAACATCTTATACATATATACAGTATCATCGAAAAGTATCGGACCCCCCCTAATATTTACAGTTACAATGCATTTTGGAGAAAATGTCCAATAGCAAAGTATGGTTTCAAGCGGGGAGTAAGATGACGACCTTGACTTTGACCTTGACCGTGTCCTTCAAGGTCATTTCAAGGTCAACTTAATTTTTTAAATGGAAACCCTTACTTTTTACTGCATATTCTTATAGCTTATTTCGAGAGTTTTCCAAAACACTGTAAAAAAACATTTTTCATTAAGTACTTTTTGAGTTATAAAGGTTTGAAGTTAACAATTTTTTGACACAAAATGTAAAATATCTCATAAAATATCATTTAGTTTTCGGTATTTTCTTTAAACCAATTAATTGGTCTCATTATTCCGCGCACAAAAGTATTAAGCTTGTGATTACCGAAAACTAAATAATATTTTACATTTTGTGTCAAAAAATTGTTAACCTCAAACCTTTATAAATCACAAAGTACTTAATTAACAATGTTTTATTACAGTATTTTGGAAAGCTCTCGAGATAAACTATAAGAATATGCAATAAAAAGTAGGGGGTTCGATTTCAAAAAATTAAGTTGACCACGAAATGACCTTGAAGGACATGGTCAAAGTCAAGGTCATCATCTTACTCCCCGCTTGACAACGTACAACTTTGCTACTAGACATTTTTCTCCAAAATGCATTCTAATTGAATATATAAGGGGGATCAATACTTTTCGATGATCCTGTATATGTGTATATGTATATGAGCTGTACGACTTTGTTTTAAATAAAAATTAAATAAAATTAGAGAGAGAGAGAGAGGGGGGGGGGCGCGTGCCTGCCTGCCTTATACTTTTGGTCAAGGCTGTAGATTATAAATTATACAAAATGTAATACATACTGTATATACATGTAACATTAATATACATATAAATATGTAAGTGTTAACTGTATGACACAAATATATTAATGTAGAGATTTTAGTATTCTTTACCTGTTCGAGGAGGGGGAACAGGTGGTTTTGGTTGCACAGACTTCATTACAATATTATTATCAGATGTCTCGGGTTTAGATGCAGGTTGCGCAGTGTTGTCGTTATTTTGTGAATTCAACGATAACGGTGGAAAACCAGGTGGAACAGGAAGCTCATCTAAAGATACAACCTTCCCATGTGCATACAACTTAATGGCATCTTCAAATTGTTTGCAAATTCTACCATATCTCCGTGCTTTAGATGTGTTACCCTCATCTTCGGCAGCTACTTTGGTTCTTCTATATACCTCGAGGCGCTCTTTAAGGGCACCTTCAATATTCTCGAGACCACATTTTCCTGGACCAGCTTTTAATAGTAATGTTCATGTTATTTTTTTAACTCAAAACTAAATAAAATATTATGTAGCTCTTTCGTCGCATATTACAAATGCAAATTTATGTATGTAATTTATTTATTGTCGTATAATAAGAAGTATAGAAACTAAGTGTATCTTAATGTTCCTTTCTTATAATAATATGGACATTTATACAGGATGTCTGATGAAAAATGTCGCCAATTGTAAAATAGTGGTAGATTGGGTTAAACTGAGAAGAAAAGTCATATGCCGCGTTGCAAAATTCGCAACGGTTATCGAGTAATTAATTTATACATCTGAACGAATGAGAACGTAGAATACGGTAGGCCGGACTTGGAAGTCATATAAGATAATCGATCGATGAGCGGGACGTGGAGCGACGCGCGAGATGCAACGCGGTGGGAAAAACCAGTGATCGCGGCGGGGAGCACGGGGCGGGCGGCGAGTAATTACTCGATAACTATTGCGAATTTTGCAACGCAGCATATGACTTTTCTCCTCAGTTTAACTCAATCTACTACTATTTTACAATTGGCGACATTTTCATCAGACACCCTGTATATCTCTCTCAATATAAAGTATGAAAACTGGACATTAAAAGATATGATTACATTATTTACATTAAAAAATATCTCTTAAATGACCTTGACATATTGCAGAAGTAAAACTATTGACTTTTAACAATTAATTTTTAACTTTTGATGATTAACATTAGTTTGGGTATAATTCTCTCATAGAAATCATTGAACATATACAACTTACACAAATATTAAAGATTACAATTCTTATTTACATTAGTAAATATTCCTGATTTTTATTTTATCAAGTGGCCAATATTATAATAAAAATCGTTCATTATTCATAAAAAATTATCAACAAAAACAATTGGTCTTGCAACAAAGTACTGGATACAGTAGTTAACCGAATAAACAGATCATAAATAGATTAAATCAGGAGAATTATGTCAGGTAAAGTCATACTACATTAGATTATATTTCAAAAATTGAAAAGTAAACACATATATAGATAAAACTGAAAAATAAACATATAGGAAAGATCCTGGCCCATCTCCACATCCATTTCCAATCTTCAAAAACCACAATTTAGTCTGTCTTGACTTGACTTGGCTTAATCTAATCTGATCTAAGTTAGTGAAATTGTTTAGGAATAGATATAGAGAAAAAGATTACAAGTCCTTTCGCATCTATATTTACTTTCCATGACATTTCTGAATATTCTAGATAAAGATTTATACATCTTTCTCGATTTTCAATATTTCCGTTTAGAGTTTAAAATTTTCCAATGATTTCTTTCGCGAGTTTTTAATAAATTAATAACAAACAAAACAAATTGTAATATATAATTATAATACTCAAGATTACCAAGAATGTCTATTGTAAATTTAATTTTTTAACATTTACATAAAATATTGTAGTATATCTCACAATAACTATAATATATTCGCTAAAGAGCAAAAGTTAATCTGTATCCCTACAAAATATATCAAGATCAAAGTTACTGAAAATATGTTCCCTAAAGTAAATTATTAAAAATTTAAATAACTTCGTAAAAAATATTTTTCACTATATTTTTTTATTACAGAAAAGCACAAATCAACAATAAAATACATATCCATATATAACATTAGTATGTGACTATTTTTAAAAGGGTTTGCAATTCGACAGATATCTATATCTCACCTGCTTCACCAGAAGTTTGCTGTTGAACTTCACTTTCTTCTTTTGCAGCTGCTGTCGCAGTCCCAGTTGAGGAAGGTAGAATTGGAGTAGGTGGCATATCTGACAAATCAAGCTTTTCACCCGCAGCAATTGCAGCAATAACTATATCAAATTGTTTTATAGTTTTTACATATTCCAGTGCTTGCTCTTTGTTTCCCGCTTTCTTCCAAGCGATTGCTGCAGTCTTATATTTCTGTTGCTGCGCTTTTAATTTATCCAGAGCCTCTTGATCAACTGTGATGTCTGTCGTTGTTTCAGAAGGATTATTATCATCATTTGAGATCACGTCTGATGTTGCAACTGCTTCACTAACTTCCACTGGTGACGGTGTCTTTTCTTCTACGAAATAAGGACAAAGTATTCGTAAAAATCAATATAGCAAATTTACAATTTACATCCAGAAAACTGGATAAATAATATAAGTGGACCTATTAATAATTTAATGAGAAATGAAACTACCAAAATACAAAACCTCGTGTTTGATATTCTTATCAAAGTTTATCTGCCTTGTGCATGTATACTCATACATACATGGATTAAATTTCTTTTTATTTCAAGGTAAAATATAAGATTGATTATAGATAATCAAGAGAGAAAGATATCCACGAGACCACAAGGATAAAGAAGCATGTATTACCTATATTTTTGACATGTTCAGTAGTAGCTGAAGAAGGCAAAGCTGGAGGAATGTCAGCTTCGTTTATACTTCCACCTGCTTTTATAGAAACCAACATCTCCTTCAGCGTTTTTACACCTCTGTTATACCTTCTAGCCCTACCAGTCTCAGCCTTTCCTTTTGCCTTTTCCTCCGCTATCTCATAAATGTTTAGCCTTTCTTGCAACAAATTGATCAATTCTTGCGTAGAATTATTTTCTTCTTTAGCTTCAGCGGATTCCTCTTTACCGTGATCTGCCTCTTCTTCTTCCATTAATTTTGGCGTTTCTGTCTTTTCTGTCGCAGTCTCAGTTCCTGTAAGCATCTGCAGCTCTTTCTAAACCAAAGAAAAAAAAATTTTTTTTAATACAATTGAATCTGACATTATACCAGTTGTACATTATACCAACATAATATTACCAAGTATTACACAACATACCAATAATGCAGGATCATCATCTCCTTCAGATGGTTCCTCGTCTGAATTTGTATCTTTCATACAATCAGCTACCATACTGTCCAAGTTTACATCAGCAACAGCTTTACGTGCAACTATAACAATTATATTTATATAATTATATAGCTATATAGCTATAAGATTATTGTATTTATATAGCTGACATTTATATAATTTACACACATAATACAAATTATGCCTTAATACACAAGTTAAACTATATGGAGCAATTTGATAATACATTGCTTGAAATATATTACTAATACTTCAATGAAAAAGACATGAATATAGATTACATCTGCGACTTTTATAAAACTATCGTCAGACAGCAAACCTTTGTTATTTAAGAATAAAGACTTATTGTCGCCAGTAAATAATTAACCAATATCGGATATTATTATTCACTGCAACTGGCAAATTCTAATTGAAGAAATTTATTGCAAAAAATATTACCTCAACCAGGGTTTAAACCTGGACCTCCCTACACTCTATGTGACAAATATTACCGCAAGCCTCAGTGGTCGAATTGACGAGATGCCCGCCTAGAATGTAGGGAGGTCCAGGTTCAAACCCTGGCTGAGGTAATATTTTTCACAATAAATTTCTTTAATTAGAATTTGCCGGTCGTGTCAAATATTAATTTCCTACTTTGTCATTTAATTTCATCCTTCTTTAGATAATCTGCAAGATACTTTTTCGTTTTTATGATTGGAACTCATAAAGTTGGGACATATAGAGGAAAATAAATCAAACCTGTACAAAAATTTTAAGAACATTTAAAAAATGTCAAGATAAAAGAAATAACATCACACTTTACATATTTTTAGACACTTTACTCTCAGCCATTCTCATGATGGCTGAAGATTTTTATTTTTTTGTTACTTGTCTGTTATTGATACATGATTGTCATTCAGATTAATTTTTCCAAAGCTACTCGTTTAAAATTGCTATGTACCAAATTGATGAAATATTATTTAAATTACATTATCTGTACATTTATAGTATCGTCAAATAACACATTTTAAAGCCTTATAAACTTCCCCCAAAAAATGTCTTGCATATTATAAATTATAAACTTGTTATAATAGAGGAAAGTCCCCTGTTATGAGATATGCTTCTAATATGATATAGCAAGTTTTCAACATGCAAATTCAATCGCAAATCTTGTTCACGACGATTGCACGATCTAACAATGAATTCTCCACTAAATAGATTTTACCCCCAGGGTAATAAATTCATGATGGAGACAACAGACGATGCCAATTAATTTAGCAGAAACCCCGGTATCTCATATTAGGAGCTGTTCTCATAATAGGGGACTTTCCTCTAATAATGTATGACCCCTTTTACACCGTTAAATTGGTTGGTACGTGTATCAAGTTGATGCGGACTAAACATTTCATACCTTCCTGTTTACACCGATCTATCTCAAAACAGATTAGGAGTTTTCAGAGTGACAAGTCTACTTTTTCTTGTAAATCGGTCGATATTTATAAAAATAATGGAGAGAGGACAAATTCTAGCATCATTTATAACATTATTCGAAATTTTAAACGTGCAGCAAGAAGCCAGAAAAAAATGTCTCAAAAATATGATGAAACGTATGAGGATAAAATTGAGAAAATTGTATCTTCAACAGAGGAATGGGTTGCTTGTAAAATGGAGTCAAATGATTGATCCAAAATCACTGACTCTTATTTTAGATGGTTCAATACCAAATTCAATACCAAAGAAGAATATGGACCAAAGAGAGGACTAACGATTTTCGGCAAAGAATCGTAGAAGATCATTTCACTGTCAGATTGGCTAGCCACTTTTCGAATGTAGAAAAAGAACTTTCACAACGCTTCGTGACATTTTTCAAACAGAGTTAGAACCCAAGCTTCTTTTCCTGGTATCCAGATAGCCTTTATCTGTCGAAAAACAGGTCGCAATGGCTCTGTATAAATTGAACCGAATCGAATCGTTTACAGCGCGATGACATCTTTTGATACGCGTATCAACTTGGTCTGATACTCGCGAGTCAGGAGTATCGAACCAAAATGATCCACGAGCGTTTATACCAAACGTATGAAGTGATTTGATACGGATATAGTACTTGGTACATGTATCAAGCGGTCGGTGTAAACTAGGCTTATAATTCCTATTCTACATATATGTATCTGCATTACGTAAAATACATGATTTACAAAGCTAACTTACCGCTGCGTCGGCTCTTGTAACCTGTATCGTTGCCAGCCGCCAAAGCAGCTAATTCAGCTTCCAAAGTTTCGTCATTATCATCATCCTCCATCATGTTATCATTAATATTGCCGATATTTATATCAGGTACTTGGAAGATGCCATACTATGTAAAACATGAGCATTTTATGAGCAACGAAGATAAATAATCCAATGTACGAAGACCGAGATCGTAAAATGCAAGATAAAGATATGTCACGTTTATATTTCTAATCATACAAATCTAAATTTTGTAATTCGAAATGCAAGGTAAACTATATATAAGTTTCTACAAAAAAAAAGGTCGGTGAAAAATACATTGCATAATACATATTTTATCAAAAAGATGCTAAAAAGATACCTGTTCTAAGCTGCCAATTGGCCTAGGCTGTTTCGGCTGTTCTTTTCTCTTACCAAACATTTCGACTCGTTAATCACAATGTGATGCAAATACTTGGCGATATTGACAAAAATCAAAAGATCAAAGAATGAAATAATTTCACAGCGATTACTGTATACTCCTTATACGATATCGTACTCCGATAGTCACACACAAAATTGTACAGCTGCAATCCCTCTCTAAACCAGTCATCACTGGCGTGACATCATCTGGACCATAGACCTAAAAAACTATGGACGGAGCACGGAGTAGGTGTTGGATCATTGGGAGCTCCTGGCTCCCATTGGAGCCAATACGGCCAGAAGCACGAAGTAGGGTCTACATTCTCCATGATCGGAACGCAGGGTAGGTAAACGCGCATACCTCCGGAAACTTAGCCAGCCAACTTTCGACTTTTTAATTTATTTTTTTGCTGATCATTTGTTGGTTGTTTGTAGGTAATTGTTGACCTAATATCAATATTTGTTGGTTTATAATTTTTTTATAAATAAAGAAACAAAAATTAGCGTGAAATAAGCCGGAAAAAAATCTCATTTTCGTTAAAAAAACCAATTAAATCGATGCGGAATCATTCGCTGATAATTGTTGGTCTAATTATAGCGTTTGTTGGTTCAGTATTTTCTCTTAAAAACGAAAAATTATCTTTTATTTTACAGTTGAAGGTAAAGGCGAGTTTCCACTATCTTCGATTTTTTTAATTATAATGCATTACAGTAGCTGCAGCCGCGGCTATACGCTGTTTTTGTATTTCTGCAATTGCAATTGCTAATCCACATTCTTCATCCATTTTATTTATTTGTATTCCACTATAAACAAAACTAGAAAGCCAGCAAAAGCCAGGAATTCAACTTCACTGAAACACAACCTCAAAGCAGCGAAAAATACGCTCCATGAAAAGGCAAGAGACGTTTAGCGTTAGCTAAAGCAAAGCTGATTTGTGTTGTGATGGAGTAGAAGTAAACGCCAGCTTTAGCTTCGCTCCGTGAAATGGCAGCTTTAAAAGTCGCGCTCGTTTTCAGCATCGAATCGAATCGAATCGAATCTTATCGATATCTCATGCACGTGAGAACTCACGGCGAACTTCTGCTCGCTCGGTCATATGATTTTGTGGAAAAGGGCGAGCCCGGAGAAAGGAGTTTGACACATCGGTCTCTCGTGCGAACGTGTTCGATATTTTTCTTGCAAAATGAAGGGATGCATATTCAACATCGACGGCGGTTACTTGGAGGGTTTGTGCCGTGGTTTCAAATGTGGCATACTCCAACAGAGTGATTACTTGAATCTAGTGCAATGCGAAACACTCGAAGGTACCTCACAATTTTTCCTTGATCGACAAGCCTTATTTTCTCAATGCGTTTTAATTGCGTATTTGGTAAAAAGAAAAGATATTTCATCCTTTTGCAACGTGTAACTTCTATTTTGTAAAACTGTTGCTTGAAGAAAGTTTAAAAAGCTGAAATCTTTGTTTGACGCCAAAAAATTCAGAGTTTTATATGAATCGTTGCTTTTTATGAGTCTTATTCCTTCTTCTTAAACTGTTTATCTGCTTAGATTTGAAGCTACACTTGGCTGGCACTGACTACGGCAGCTTTTTGGCCAATGAACCGTCTCCTCTTTCCGTCAGCGTCATCGATGACAAATTAAGGGAGAAGCTGGTTGTTGAGTTTCAACATATGCGCAATCACTCCGTCGAGCCTCTGTCTCAGTTTTTGGATTTCATCACTTACAGTTATATGATTGATAATATCATTTTGTTAATTACCGGTACCTTGCACCAACGACCTATTTCCGAATTGATTCCAAAGTGTCATCCGCTTGGCAGCTTTGAGCAGATGGAAGCAATCCACGTCGCTGCCACACCCGCAGAATTGTACAACGCTGTACTGGTAGATACGCCTTTAGGTATGGTCTTCATTGGAATTGTATTCCCAAGGGGTAAACCGCTGAGAGCATTGTAGTGTATAGATTTGCAACATTACTGAACATTACTAGGCACTTTTTGGCCATTAAGCCTTGCTGGGGCATCATTAAGATAAAATAAGTTAAATTAAGATAATAAGATGAAGTAATGCCCACTGGGCATTAGTAGGCATTGGTGTACATGATTTTAATCAGTGACTTACTCCTCTCGTATTTCTCATTATGTATTCATTGTTCTTTATCCCACGTTACAAATATTATTTTGTTACAGCACCTTTCTTCGTGGATTGCATTTCTGAGCAGGATTTAGATGAGATGAACATCGAGATAATAAGAAATACGCTTTATAAGGCTTATCTGGAAGCATTTTATAAATTCTGCAAAGATCTTGGTGGCACAACCGCAGACACTATGTGTGAAATACTTGCTGTAAGATATTTTGCTCTGTTAAAATAATTGAAACTACCTTATTGTGCTTGATAAAATAATATCGTTTTTTTTGGGGGGGGGGGATTTATAGTTTGAAGCAGATAGAAGAGCGATCATTATAACCATTAATTCATTTGGCACTGAATTGGGTAAGGATGATCGTGCAAAATTGTATCCTCGTTGCGGACGTTTGAATCCGGATGGACTGGCTGCCTTGGCGAGAGCTGATGATTACGAACAAGTGAAGGCTGTAGCAGAATATTATGCCGTGAGCAAAGTTTTAAATGACATAATTCAATTTAGAACTATGAGAGTTAGTTATGCCATTGCATAATATTTCATAAGTTCTTCATTTTACATTCCACTACCCTATGATCACCTAATATATTCCTGTTACATGTATACTTACCGATGTTTAAACAGGAATACAGCGCTTTATTTGAAGGAGCAGGTAACAATCCTGGTGACAAGACCTTGGAAGACAAGTTCTTTGAACATGAAGTAAGAACACTTGTGATATAAGTAATTACATGCATATAATTAATAATTTATATAATTATTTAAATAATTATTAATTTATACTTTGTATATTATCTACATTAAATGATTATTTTAATTTCTTTTTTGTAAATACACAGGTTCGTTTAAACGTCCATGCGTTTCTGCAACAATTTCATTTTGGAGTATTCTATAGCTACTTGAAACTGAAGGAGCAAGAGTGTCGTAATATCGTTTGGATTGCGGAATGCGTTGCTCAAAAGCATCGGGCTAAAATAGATAATTATATCCCTATATTTTAGATTAATTATGCGTATTAAACTCGATTACTTGTATTTACTGCAACAATAATGTAAAATTGTTTTTCTCATAGTGCAAAAGTACGAGATAATAGTTTAATTGTTACCAGAAGGGCTCTTGAAAGCTGTTTGTGGAACAATATCACCATAAAAATTGACTTTAAAAATGAAGTAGATATGTGCAAGTATATATCGGTCCAATATTAATAAGCCGCATGCATACGTTAAGAATTCTGGTTTAGAATTGACATTATAAAAGTTTAAGTGAAATAACAAAATGTTTGTGTACAAACTGTATGTGTACATAATGTATCTTATTGTAATCTTGAATGTAAATCGTTTTTATGTATTATTCTACATTACAATTATTAACACAGATATATATGTATTATAAAATAATAAAAATATACTGCATTCCATAGGATTAATAATACAACTAATTCTTTTATATCTTTATAATATGCAGGGATAGGAAAGTTACTTCTTAAAAGTAACTAGTTACCGTTACTCGTTACAGAGTAAAAAATGTAACTTATTACCGTTATAGTTACCATTACTTAAAAAATAACGATTCATTACTTTTTCATTTTTTTAATTCTGAAACGAGATCAGACAAACTAAAACATTTACTTTTGTATGTTTTTTTACTAACAAAGATATTGATAAAACAATTTTTTATTTTAAAGTTGTAAAACCATGAAAAATTTAAGGAGATAAATTTTAAAACGCCCAAAATATAAATAACAAATTTTGATTTCTATGAAAAGTACAAATATAACTAAATTTTTTTTATTGTACTCTCAATTATTCGTTCGAATTAACGCAATAATTTTAAACTTATCTTAAATGTAACAACCCGTGATAATAATAGATTATGAATATCCATCGATGCCTGAAGATTAAATGTAAGAAAATATAGGTAGTACCTAGTCGATTTATGCAGGAGCCACCTTAAGGAGATATCCGTTTGTTATTAAGTAATTGGATTATCCGATTATATGTATATTTAATCGGACATTTTTCCCAGTGTATTTGGAACTGTTCCAAATAATTAATTACCGCGGTTCTGTCGAGGAAGCGAGAAATGAGCAGCCTTTCCTTTCGACGAGGCGGCGTCTCGTTTGAGAAAACGTAAAAACTTACCTTTTTAAAAAAAAGGATAAAAAAGCACCAAGTATAAGCTCCAATTCAACCGAATATATTTTGTTACTCTATCTTTTTTGCAAAAGTATATTCTCCACAAAAATATCTTTTCTGCAAAAGTATCTTCTCTACAAAAGTAATTCTCTTAAAAATCAAACTAAAGATTTTATCGGAAAAAATAATGTAGATAATGTTTTCTGCAAAAGTATCTTCTCTCTACAAAAATTTCATCTCTATAAAAATATCTTCTTTACAAAAATATCGTCTCTACAAAACTATCTTCTCTACAAAAGTAATGATAACAAATTGCGCCAAATATAACAATGGATATTTATACAAACTAATTGCTTTTGTATTAGTTTTTTATTTAAAAATGTTATATTTCTTAAAAAATCAAACTAAAGATTTTATTGAAAAAAATAATGGAGTTAATAATAAAATGGCACCAACTAAACTGAATATTTTTACAAACTAAGTACTTTATTATTTTTTATATTATATGTATAACGCGTATCTTTCTTTTATCGTAACCATTCTGTAAATACATCTCATTCGGCCAATAACGTATCGACAGTACCGATGAAAAGAATAGCAACTGTTTAGAAATTTAGATATCTATTCAGGCGAATTAAGGCCTGTGTCCATAATGCTAGTACTTGGTCCAAGTTTTAATTCCGCGAAATATGTAGTCAATATAGCCGTTCCACAAAAGCTGCAAGTTGATTGGCTACGCATTTCTCAAAACTAGAACTATAATTGCACACATAAAACTGTTATTTTTTATAAATGTATTTCTTATTATACATTTTAAAGCAGGGTTGTAAACCGGAGT